GATTACTGGCCAGCCCAAAATGTCAGTCCAGCCTCTGATGGAGTATTTCCAACCGCTCATCGAGTGGCTTGAAGAGGAGAACAAAAAGAACGGTGATGTCCTGGGATGGCCAGAGTACGATTGGACGCCTTACAAAAGTAAGCTTGGAGTTCATGAATCGACACTCAAATGTTGGTTTACCACTCAATTTCCTGTGTTTTATTGAAAAATAAATGTGCTTCAGCTGGGAAACTTGGATGGATTTCAGTCAAATTAATTGGAGCAGAGTAAAATTTGAATGGTAGTAAGCCAATCCCAACGTCTTTCCAAAAGGCTCCAACTCAATTGTAAACCACTGGATTTGGGTAATTATTCAGATAGGGCAAGTTTCTTTCCTGGAATTTTTTTTCCAGAATATTCTATATACTGTGTGTATATATATATATATATACACATTTCAAGAATGTAATATAATTGTATTTTTTTTAATCAAATGTTTTTTTGTGCTGAAAAGTAAAATTTGTCAGAATTTCTACATTTCTGACTAATCCCCTTACCCATACTTTTTAACTTCTCTTCTATAGTTTATTTATAACATTTTATATAAAACATTTATAAAAATATGTCATAACACAGAGATCATATTTTCAATTAACGTATAAACGTAACTAAACACAAGTATATGTTTATGCGCAATTGTATTATTTATAACAGAATCTCTGCCCCCAATACTGCTGTCATTACTTTCATCTCACCAATAATTTGCATAATATAATATACATTTATAAAATACATTTGTAAAAATGTCTTTAAGAACTTCATAAGGATCACATTTTCACTTAAACTTGGTACTGTACATGTACAATTTTATTATTTATAACAACAGAATCTCTGTCTCCGTATTACTGTCATTACCATCACACAATACTTTGTATAATAATATAAAATACAATTAAAAAAAAGATTCATAACTTAATAAAGATAGTTTTCAACCAACTTACTGTATATGCACAATTTGTAATATTTATAAAATAATCTGTCCCCAATGCTGATCACACCAAAAATTTGAGTATCATTCCATTCCGTTCTATTCTACATATGATGGAAATGACAAGTGACAGGGTCAGAAATGTCATTAATATTAAGATTTTAAACTTCATTTGAGGTTTATTATAGTGTATATATATATAGTTGATTATAGTATACAGTATATTTATTCAGAAACTATCTTTTTTCCCCTGTAATTTGAAGTTACTTGTCTGCTAAGTAACATCATGTATTAACATGCACAAAAGTAAAACTACCATCAATAACAAAAATCCAGACCATAGCACTATTTAACACTAGTACAAGTGCTCACACACTTCTCACCGGTTTGTTTCAGTCGCTTCAGTGATGGAAGAGAAGCCGAAAGCAGTCAGTTTCCTGGGTTTGAGTGTGGATGAGGCAGGTGCGGTGGCGGGACAGTGGATTCTCCTGGTTCTGAGCATCGTCTTCCTGCTTGGCATCATCTATTTAGTCTACAGATACAGGAAGACTAAACGCTTACAAGACAAATCGATGTCTCAGATGGAGCTTAAGTAAAGGAACACATTCTATTCTTACCATGCAGTCAATACTTTTTGACAAAAACCACCTCTTTTTGAAAGTATATTTATTATTTTTGGTCAAATTTGTTTGACTATGCAATGAA